GAATATATGTATATTATATACATATATTTAACATGCCTAATACAAATCTGTGTAGACAATTTTTACGAACTTAAAAAGGTTGTTCAATTCTGTCAGACTTAAGATTTAGGAATTCATTTCTTCTTACTTGTATTAAACAAATTTGTAAGCTAATGTCTAGGATAATAAATGCTGACTATATTATAGCAAATTTAGTATTCAATATAAATTTTCTAGATAAAAAAAAGTTCTTTATATGAAGTGTATTTAAAATCTAGAACTGCTTGAGCTCTCACAATTTAAAAAGTCTTTCTCAAGGTTAGCCAATTCCTAATATATTATTGATAGAGGCCCGAGCACCCTAAAAATCTACATAAGGCACTAAAGAATCACTATATTTAGCATTAAAACTATGAAAATTGATCATTTCCGGATCATGTCATTTTTACTAAATATCTAAAATTCCAGTTTACAGGCATATCAAATTTTCCAAGCTTCGCAATGTACACAGACGGACACAGCAAAATTGATTATAATATTTCAGACTGACGAATCATGTTCCATTAACTTGATTTACAAACAACTCATGTGCTCGATCTAAATAGGTCATCTAACAAATCTAAGCTTTTTCGCCATGGACGTCCTATTGAATCATCTTTGACCCAAACAGTCTCTTAACGGACTTCAAGCAATAGCAACAAATTCAATCCATTGTTTACTTTACCTGTGGCTTGCTCGCAAGAGGAATCCTCGCCTCCTGGTTTACCTGTGATAGTAGAAACAGAACACGAGAGAGAGAAAGAGAAATGTTTCTCAGTAAGACACGCGATTTCAAAGGAAAACACAACTTACGCCCGGACGTGGAATTGTGTCAAAGTTTCAAGACGCGCAGTTTCCACAATTTCGGCCGAATTAGCTGCAAAGTTCAGAGAAAACAAACAGCATTAAAACTGAGAGTTTAACATAAGCCAAATTGGGGTTGGAAAAAATAATATAGAAAGTTGGCCCATAAATGTTTTTTTTTTTTTTTTACTGATGTGAGCCCAAAAATAAATTATTACCAGTTGCGCAGCTCGATTCCATTTCTTTATAGATCAGCAGAGGTCCACTGAAATGGTATCAAATATTAATAATAGTTTCTGATATTGAATCAACTGCAGCTAGATGTTATATATGTATATATACCACACTATATAATTGCGAGTCTGTGTGTGTGTGTGTGTCTGTATGTGTGTGTAGTAGTAACTGAAGTACATGCATATACATATATATATAGTATGTATTACTTAGTTTTATACATATTAAGTTAGTGTAAGCACGCACACACAAATAACAATTCGGTCGAACCACTGAACATTATGTACATATGCTTACAATCAAGATATATACGGATTTATATATATATAGAAAGATAGATAGATAGGTAGTAGATAGTCTATTTATAGCTGAGTGTGTGGTTTTTGTAGCTCGGGTGATAATAATAACTCGATAAACTTGTTCTAACGTAATTTCTTATAGTCTACAAATAATTGAATTACGTTTATTGTGTCGCTCTCTGTGCTGTTTGGAGCTACATTTTCTCCTGTATAAAGGGATGTGTGAGTGCCTGATTTAGCGATATACGTTTGCCCGGATCCAAGGCAAACATATTCTCCAGCAGATCTTTGAGCTGTGTCACCTTGCGATGCTGATCATCGGGTAAGTTCTGATCAGCGATTAGCTCCTGTTGCAAATTGCGGGTAGGCTTCACCACAGGCATCACGACGATCTTTTCCTGGAAAAGTCAATGATATTAGAGTTTAGTTACCCATATATATATATCCAAATGTATCCGTCTACTTACCCTCTCTGTTAATTTGTCTATTTCGTGATAGAGGAAATTGCAGCTTTGATCAAAATGCTGTTCTCTGAATTGTCCCTTGCGTATGATGCGATTGGGTATCTTGCCCTTTACATCCATAAAGAATTTAAGCATCTGGTTGTTGCTCTTGCCACTGAACAATATCTTGCCCGTATATAGTTCGTAGATAGTGCAACCAGCTGACCACGTATCAATGCCATAGTCATAGGGTATACCCAATATTATTTCAGGTGCTCGATAGAAACGTGATACCAAGTAAGGCGTTATTTCATTCTCACTGATGGCCGAGGCAGAGCCAAAATCGCACAGCTTCAATATCAAATTATTCTCATTAACTAGAATATTATCGGGCTTGATGTCCGCATGCAGTATGCCCGTCTTTTTCAGCAGCTTAAGAGCGAGGAACAGTTGCTGAGTATAGCTGCGCACCGCTTTTATGTGAAGACCCACATTTTTGCCATATTTCTTGAGMACCTCGCGCAGATTCATGGCCAGCGGCTCAAACACCATGCAAAGATGCTACGAAGAGAGGGTTCAGAGGATTACTAATTGATTTTTGAGAATATATCGAGACCCCTTACCTGCTTGTGGAAAAAGTGCCGATATAAACGAAGGCAATGGAAACGATCATCAGGATCCGCATCGTTGAGTTTTTTAAGGATTTCCAGCTCACGTAGACCTGTCTTATGCCTGGCCATATAGAAAAAGCAAATATCGAATTAATTACATTACTGTTGATGACATCGACGTAAACAAACATTGGATGATCCCACTTACATGATCTCGTTGTTGCGTATAATTTTGATAGCCACATTGGCCGAGCCGCGCGCCTGATCCCTGCTGCGCACCACATTGCTGAACACGCCTTGTCCTGTGTAGCCACTGACGAGGTAGCGATTGTCCAGTACCTCACCAATGCGCACACGATAATAACCCTCCGCATCGTCCCAATTGTCAGTTAGAGCAGGATTCTCAATTTGATGCTTACTGTGCACTATCGTACTGGGGGACTATAAATACAGAGAGTGAGTGAGTAAGTTTCTGTTTAAGCTGTTGCATGCTCGACATTTACAAGCCTGTGACTCACATCGAAATTCGAATCAACATCCTGATCGGCAAACATGTCCCATTCGTTGCGTTTCTCTTTAACTGTGCTGTTCTTCGAAGCATTTGCATCGAACGCTTCGGGCTTAGCAGCCGGCTGCTCTTCTTTTTCAATCGTTGGCGAATGCTGCATCTGCTCGGGTTTCGAGGAGACGGGTGAGATGCTTCTCGATTCATATGAATTCGATTTCCGAGGCGTCGGGCTGGTTGTACGCGATTTCCCCTCAGTGGTAACCAGTTTCTAGGAACGAAATGGAATAAGTATTTGTAATAGGAGCTATATTTACTTGCGTTGGACTTACCTTGACCAGCTCCTCACGTTGCTTGCGACGCATCTCAATGATACGCTCCTCATCATCCTCGTCCTCGTTGATATCTATGTCAAGACTGGTTTCCTCGTCGCTGCTCTCCTTTTCGTGCATTTTCTGCCCCTCGCTTAAAGAGCCTTTATAGCGATCGCGATCGGCGGCGCCCACACCATTGCCAGAGCGTGCTCCACGTCCAGATCCTGTGCCACGTTCACCGCCCCGATCCTGCTCCAGCTGACGCTCACGCTCACGCCTTCTATCTGACTCAAACTTACTACGACTATGCGAACGTGGACGTTGCCAGCGATCGCGATCGCGATCACGATCACGATCACGCTCTCGTTCGCGCTCGCGCTGCCTACCTCCACGCTCTGACTGCTGCTGTCGATTATCTCTCTCTGGTCTCCTTTCACGATCACGACTTTGTTCGCGTCGCTCTCGCTGCTTGTCACGATTGATCTCCTGTCGCAGATCTTCCATGTTCCTGTTGTACTCTTGGTGATGACGTCTCTGTTGCTGCTGTAGCTGTTGCTCACTGCGTCGGCGAGGCGTGCGACTTCGTTGATCTCGGATCGAACGACGATCTCGCGAGTCACGCTGCTGCTGTGGCCGACTTCTTTGTGGGATGGGCGATGATTGTCGTCTTCGCTTCTCTGGTGTGGGCGAGGGCGTACGCTGACTACCGCTAGAATCATCCAATAATATAACATCGGGTTCGTTTGAGTTATTGATGTTAGACTGTTTATTATTAGCATGTTTACTAGTTGCAGTTGCCAGCTGCAGTGCAGACTGCGAGTTCGGCCTACGCTTCGGCGCCTCGATAGCTGCAACAACGGGTTGCTGTGGCTGCTGGGGTTGCTGCAGTGGACGCTTGAGCTGCAACGAATTGGAACGAGTCTCATCGCCTTCAGTGTCAGACATGTAGGCACCCAGGCGTGCTTGCAGAAGTGCCTTTTGTCGCATTAGCTCCTCCAAATTTAGCTCATCTTCGAGCTTATCTGGCAACAACACAGGGCTGGCTATGTCAATGGGGCTAGAATACATACGATCTATGAGTTACGCGTTACATAGATATATCTTCAATACCTACACATCACTCTCACTACCAGATGTGGCCACTTCAAGTACAGGCCGCACCTTGTTCTGTATGGTCTTGGTAATCTCTTCAACCAAGCTGCATGGGTCTGTATTTGGTTTGACAATACGAAAGTCGGCGCCATTGGGCGTCAGTTTTGAGCTACGCTCGCGACTGGCTTGCATCAACTCAGTAAATTTGCTACTCAGACCTTGAGCCACTGCATTGTTTCGAATGAGCTGCTGCTTCTCGGATGCATTCGAAGATTCGCTGTGACGCTGATGGCGCTTTTTCGATTTCTTGTGCTTTTTGTGCACCTTTTCACTGCTGCTCGACTTTTTGTGTTTCTTATGCTTTTTAGACTTTTTGTGCTTGGCGTGTCGCTCCTCGGCCTCGCTGTTGTCACTGGAGTCGTAACTGCTTGAAAAAAGTAAATTAATATACATACACACAACACAAATTTCTCACACACACACACACACATAACCTCACAAAGTTTTGCTTAATATTTTATTTTATATTTATTCCTTACCTCTTGTCGTCACTCGTCATTGTGTATGATGGATTGTAGCTTGGGCATGCAGTGCTACCTACTTAATATTATTACAAATTTAACTTTTAAGTTTTGGCGTGCAATTTTATATTTGCATTTAACTTGTGTCCAAACGTTTGCTACCAGTTCGCGACCAATAAACTGAACAAATGAGTTAATGAACTAGTGCTGTAAAATAACAGATAGCACAGATAGTTAACAGCTCGATAGCTGCGAGCACACTGACATCGATTGATTGTTATTTATATTAACACAACTTAAAAGGAGTCAACTTCCTTTTAAAGCAAAATAGGGCAAACTGTGCAATATAACTACTTATTTTTATATGGTTCAAATTGATTGTTTATTAACTCACTATTTTCTTAAATGCTACCTGTTTTTAATTTAACCGCCGTAACATTTGTATGTTAATTTAACAGAGTGCAGCACACCGGCAATGATTGGAAAGTTTATTCATTGTTGTTCGCTACACTCATTAGTTTATCAACAATTGCGAGCATCTGCACTTTCGACTTCTTTACGTAGCTTACGGCCGCATAGCACAGCCGTCGCCATGGACAAAGTTTATTTGCGCAATGCACAAAACACAGAGGAACTTCACATTACATTTCGTTATGCCAACCAGGGGCTCAAATTGGATCGCAGCTTTAACTTTTGTCGACGCATGAGCGAGCGCGTGGATGAAGCGCTCCTACGCATACGCAACAATGTTGAAAAGGAGCTCACCAAAAAGAGCAAAAAGAAATCAAAAGGAGCAGCAGCTGCCGAGACCCCGTTGGCTATCACTCCCAACGAGATTGTTGTGGAGTTCCGTCGAGAAGGCTCGGAGGAGCAAATTCTGGGCGTAACCTTTGAAGAGCTGCTAAAGAACTCGGCAGATGGATTAAAGCTGCGAATTCACGACACCAACTTTGATGTGCTGCTTAATCAGCCTTGGATTGATTCAGTACAGTTACCCAGCTCCATTTTAGCTGGATTTCCGGTTTATCCATTAAAGCTTGAGCTGGAATTTGCCAGCCGGGAGCACAGTAGAGCAGAGTGGTATAGGGCCGTAAAACCAGCGAACGGTATATTTAATGAGAAGACCAACTGGAAGCGATGTGCAGAAGGATTAATTTATCAGACCTCTTCGTCAGACGTTGACCATCATTTGAAGCTGGTGATCAGGCCAGGCAACGAGCAGGGTATCCTTGGCCCAGCTACAGAATGCATCAGTAAATTGTCCGTGCTGCCAGGACCCACTGACTGTCCATTTGAACAGCGGCATCAATATACTAAGCAGCCACTAAGTGATCCCAATGCWATTCGGGTGGTCAGCTAYAATCTGYTGGCCGATCTTTATGCGGATGGAGAYTATGCGCGTAAGACTCTGTTTCCCTATTGTGAGGCGAATGCACTTAAAATCGATTACCGTAAGCAGCTGTTCATCAAGGAGCTGCTGGGCTACAATGCGGACCTCATGTGCCTGCAGGAGGTGGATTTGAAGATTTTTGAGCATGATCTAAAGCATGTACTGACCAGCTTTACTGGCATCATGACACCCAAGGGAACCTGCGCGGAAGGTATTGCTCTATTCTATCGCAGCACGAGGTTTGAGTTGGTGAAGAATTATGTTCTGCACCTGGGTGATAACATAAGCACGCTGCCCGTCTTTACGCCACTGTGGAATATAATCAAGAGCAACGAGCAGTTGGCCAAGCGCATTTGCGAAAGATCCACCACGTTGCAGCTGTCCTTGCTGCAGGTAAAGGAGACTGGTCGCTATGTTTTGGTGGCCAACACCCATTTATACTTTCATCCAGATGCCGATCATATACGACTGCTGCAGATCGGCTTCTCGCTCATCTTCGTGGAGCACATCTACAAACAAGTCATAAAGGAGCGCAATATCACTTCCCAAAATATTGGTCTAATATTTTGTGGGGACTTCAACAGCGTACCGGAATGCGGCATCTATAAGCTGATGACGGAGCAATTTGTGGGCAAGGATTTTGTGGATTGGAGCAGCAATGAAGAGCAAGCTGTCAAAGATGTGGAACTTCGACAGCCTTTCCTAATGAGCTCCGCCTGTGGCACTCCGCCTTACACTAACTACACAACTCTATTCGCTGCCTGCTTGGATTATATATTCTATCAAAGAGACTGTTTTGATCTCCTGCAATCTGTGCCGTTGCCTACGCTGGAACAGTTGAGCGAGAATGAGGCTATACCATCCATTAAATTCCCCTCAGATCATGTGGCTCTCGTTGCGGATCTAGCATTTAAATCTTGTTAATAGCAATTTACTATATAGTTAGAGCTATATAAACTGTCGATAGTATCGATTTGGTTGTTATAATAGTTTCTGTTGTCGTTTTTGTATAATAAACATTTTTTTTTACAAACCGTTAAAGGCTGAACATTGTCAACCTATCTTTACTGAAACAGCTCTCTAAATTTAAGCTGGAACCATCGACATCTTCGATTGCTTAAAATATGGAGTAGAGCCCGCATCGATGGCTGTGCAGGTCTATTATATAATGTAAACACATCTTAAAATTAATTGTACTCTCGTTTAACTGGCCACTGCAACGTCCACATCATGGTCATCCTTTTCGATGCTTAGCTCCAGCACTGCATCTTCATCTACAGACATGGTCATGGGCTCCTTGGAGCTTTCGGTTGAGGCAGAGTTTTCTTTCGATTTGCCTCGATTGCTATCGAATTTCGTGGTAACGATGTTATTTAATTCATCATCGTCATCGTCACTGACTTCCATGATGCCATTATTATCATTCGATTCGGATGCGGCATCGCTTTCACTTGAGTCTGATGACCCTGAGCTGTTTTCCTCCTCCAGCTGCTGCTCTAGCTCATGTATGGTGTACATTAAGAGTGTGAAATCGTTGCGACGCTTCTGGAATTTGTGCTCCATCTTTAGCTTCTTTTGTGTTAGTTTGTCGATTTCCTTTTTGATGACTTCGATTTGTTTCTCTGTATCCTTGCGATCGGGCTGCTCCTCGATTAAGGAGGCAAGCAAATCGTACTCCATTTTATTTTTGCGTATTTCCTTAGCTATGATAAGTTCTTTTTTGCTTGCCTCGATCTCCTCTTTTGCAAGTTCGATGCTCTCTTTATGTTTTTCAGCTAGTTTCGCGTAGTTCTCCTGCTCCTCCTTGATCATCCGTAACGTGTATACATTTTTCAGTGCTGCAAATTGACATTGCGCCAACTGTGCCATCAAACGGTCGTACATGATTTGACTGAAATTTTAGTCCTATTAATATTTAATACTTATTATTTATATCAAATTGTACTTGGTCTCCGGCGAATCGTTTTTGGAGTTGGCCCACTTGAGAAACTGCTTTAACAGCATGTTCAGCCTGCGATCTTCGCCTGTGCCATCGCCATCAATAAGCAAGCGCTGTTTAATAATCTCCTCTGCATAGAAAACCAATTAGTTTTTACACATTTTATTTTATAAACTGAGAATAGCTCACCGTCGTTCATTGTTACGATTTTAATTATTTTACCAAACACGAAACACCGGCTGTTTTTTCGACAGCTATAGCTACGCTTTTGAAACTTATCGATAGTCTGAAACTCACCACACATACATATGCAATCGTTTTTTGTGATAGTCGATACTTCATTTTCGTTCAGGGATTATCGCAAGCAATTGACATTATACGATACATATTAAGTGCGGCAAGCGTTTTGTTATTTCCATTAAGTTTATTGACTTAAATTCCCAAAAATGACTGCTGTGCCGCCGCCCGCTAACATATCCACACTTATGCCATTGGGTAAGTAACGAAATACGTGCATTGTTTAAAATATAAAACGTTTAACGTGTTGCCGGCAGAACTGGTGGATAAATGCATCGGTTCGCGGATTCACATCATCATGAAAAACGACAAGGAAATGGTGGGCACTCTATTGGGCTTTGATGATTTCGTCAACATGTTGCTAGACGATGTCACAGAGTACGAAAATACGCCCGATGGACGCCGAATTACAAAGCTCGACCAGATACTGCTAAACGGTAACAACATTACAATGGTGAGTAATACAGCGGGTGGTTGAGATTTCTCATATATGTAGTATTAATATTATTCCACCTATTACAGTTGGTCCCTGGTGGCGAGCTTGCTGAATAGCAATATATTGCGCCATGTAAACTTATAATAAACACACATAAGAAAAAGGATTTCGATTGTTTCATTTGGTCACCCTATATGGTGCTGCCATTTACGGCTGCTGCTGTTGTCTCTTCCAAGTGGCAACTCTTAATAAACAAATAAAGGGAAACCGAGCACTTCATTTGATTATTCTAGAGAGTGCTACCAGCTGCTCGTAGTCGAATGCCTCATTGGTCATCTCAGCTCGGTGCACGCTCCTGCTACTGTCATGCTCTCCCTAGGTGGCAACTCTGCGCATGCGCATTTAAATTTGAGCGCACTGTATTTCTACTGCCTTCTATATGCAACATGAACGGCTGACAGTCAACATGTGCCATAAATATAAGTACTAACGGTAATATTCTGGCTGCACGTACTCTCCATTGGCCGCTGCCACATTCAGTACGGCACCAAGCTCGAACGGAAGTGGAACAAACGAAGCGGAAACACACACGACAAACGAATATGAAAAAAGTTTCTTTTCAACAAAACAAATAGTAGCGCAGCATTTGCTGGTCAATGCTTATGACTAATTGCAATTGTAACGTGGTCGGTGATTGAAGCGAGCTGTTGCGCAGATGTTTATTAATATATATAGACATCTATTATTATTTATAAAACGCGATATAATTTGTGTAGTTTTTTTTTTTTGTCGGTATCTGTTGTCGGGTTTTTTTCCTTTTGCCTACCTAGCAAAATGATTGAGTGTAGAAATCAATAGACAAAGAAACTATGAACAGCATGAGCCGCCAGAGCATTGCGTCGGCGGCGACAACAGCTGCAGCCGTCTCCATGTCTGTTTCCAATGCCACCTCGGTGGGCTCACTGATAGCAGCCGCCGCTAGCAGCCAACAGCCAACGGCTTCCCACTACGTGAATGGAACGGGCAGCTTGGGTCGTCTAAAGTACCATCACAAGAGTCTTGATGCCAGCGACGAGGAGCTTGAGTATGCGCAGGTAATGTGACTAATATGCATTAAATCAAAAGTCGACAAAGTACAAAGTTCTCATCAGCCTCATCCTCCTGCTCCTCCTCCCCCACCGCCAGCTGGCTGCTTATTGAGTCATAATGTGTTGTCCTGCAGCTCAATTGAAATCGCCTTGCGGCGGCGGCGGGTGGTGAATTTAGCTCTTTCTCTTTCACTCCCTTTCTATACATATGTATGTGCTTGCCTTGGTGGTGGCTTTTCCCGTTGGTGTGGGTCGAGCTGGGGTTGAAAGCCGCCTCAGCTGTTTAACCTTTAGTCCGTTTCCATAGCCAAAGCTTACGCTTGGCCAGACAATTGGCAAAGCAAAAAGCAGACCAAAGCAGCGGCTCAAATCAGTTTTCAATAATTTAATGTTACGGAAATAGCTGACCTCCGTCTCTCCTGCTCACCTTTGCTATGATTATGCTCCTACGTGCTCCTATGCTCCTCTGTTGCTCTACTCCCCTGTGCATTTTCTTCTTTTCTACATAATTACAGCTTCTTCGTTCATCAATTTTGTTCATCTAGTCTTCTATCGTCTATCCTTATCTCCTCCCATTCCATCATCAATCTTTCGTTATTTCTCACTCCACGTAATATTTTACCTACCTCCCCCACTGCTTATTCCTTGCCTCCCTTGCCACAACTTCTCTTCCCCATCTCCTACCCACACTCTCTACCACACTCTCTTGTTCACAAAATTAATTCAATTATGTTTTTTTATGAGATTTTTGTGCTATGCTTAATGAAGCCCAAACCGGAACTGTTTGTCATGGATAGACCTTTTAGGGGTTTCATATGTTGCTGTAACATTAAATATTTCTGCTTTTGCATTTTCTTTTCAGTATTTTCGTTGGGCAACTTTAAGCTTATACTTGTTTTGCTTTTCTTCATTTAAGTTCTTGTTAGAATGAAATTTCAAATTGCATCTGTGTTTTCTAGACACTCATTACATTCAATATTTATAAAGAAAATACGAATGGTGTACAACCCCAATGGTAGCCTCGGGATATATCTATATATAGGTATAGATAAGTAGTGTAAGGTATAGTGTGTTAGGTATGGGATATAAGTTTATTTTAGTGTGTACCCACTACTATCTCATGCAACTATGAAATATACGAAAGTTTAAGATATTTATAGAAATATATTTTACTACTTGGACAAGTTAAGTCCGGTAATTTTGACCCTCCTCTGTATAAACAGTAAACTACATGGCTCAACAGCTATACAAGCCCTTCTGCCCGCCCACAGCTTACAGGGTATGAATAGTAGTTTACACCTGGGGATCATCATCATCTATGGCCAGCCACAAATGTGGCACAACGAATGCCCGCAGGCAACGCCACAACCAAATGATGTTTGCCCAGCTGTCACGGCTTTTAACAAAAAAGTATTTCATGAATATGGTATGAGGACTTCTTCCTTCTAGCTAACACTTTCACTGGGCTTTAGACGGGTCAAATGGTCGTTAGAAGAGGGGGAGAGGGGAGCAGAAGAGATAGGATTTGAAACAATGGCAGGCAAACAAGACGAACACAGACAGCACAGTTAAATAGACAGCGACTGGGCTTTTCATTAAAGCTTTATTGCTTAGGGGAGCGAGTAGGCGAGAGGAGGCAACAGACAGATTTATATATATATATTGAAAGACCGAGACAAGGAGAGAAAGTATTAGGACATTTGTGAGGACATAAATGGCTTAGTTTTGCGCCTTTTAAAGCGCTTCAAAATGAAAACAAGAAACGGCATTTATCTAAGGGTTGAAGGGTTAATGAGGATTAAGTTAAGCTTTATAAATTATATATACTTGATAGAGTTATATGGATGATGCTTGTTGGTAAGGCATTTAGGTATTTTCTGTAATATTTTGAAAGTCTAAAAGCAGAATGAAAATATGATCGACTCACCATTTATTCCAAGAGCATTTCTATGACTTAAATCCTCCTTACATTCACACATCTACTCCCATGTACTCCGATTACTATTCAATATTTTGAGCAATTTGTAACCTCTCCGTACACTCGCAGCTCTCACGCTCCACTCACATCTTGGGCCGTTATAAATCGGAGCGTTTGCTGCCTGGCTCCAAGCCGGACGAGGACCGCAGACGTCGCACGATCATTGTGGAGAAGAGAAACGATTCGTATGGCTTCACACTGCAAAGCTATGGCATACACTACAAATGCGACGAAGAGCTGGAGATGATTACGTATGTGGACTATGTGGAATACGGTGGACCGGCTTATCGAGCTGGGATGCGTGAAGGCGACGTTATACTCTCCATCAATGGCAACGATATGGAGAAGGCGGATCATAAGACCATTGTGGAGTTTATCAAGAAATGCGATATGCGCATGCGAATGGTTGTGCTCTTCGAGGATTGTGTGAGAAAGGTGAGCTTGAGCATGCCAAACGCTGTAGATAATCCTCTAAGGAAATGTGTTCTTATGTGTAGGTTGATCTGCACATGCGCTATATACAGCTGCAGAGTCTGCTGCAGCAGAAGATGAACGAGCTGGAGCGAGTGCATCTGCGTGAGCGGGAGCTGCTGGAGGGCAAGTGGAAGACGCACAGCTTGCCGGCGAGAAAGAAAGCAAACGCCAATACCTCGCCGAGTGACGGAGAAGGTGTCTCTCCAACAGAGGCGAGTGCGAATGAGCCGGGCTTCTATAGACCCGCTTTGTCCACAGAGGATGTGGCTAATATAGCACTGAGACAGCAGCCAGTTATAATTCCTCCACCCGCGCAGTTTATGCTCACGTATCACTATCTGGATCCCAGCTATCGGTATCGCTATGTGCTGCCAGGAGGAGCAGCAGCTGCTGGTGGGGATCAGCACTATGTGCTGCAGAGAACCGAGTCACTGGACACCAATAGCTGCAGCCAGGTAACAGCTAACAGTCAGTACCACAGTGCGAGTGCAGGAGGCGGAGGAGGAGGAGGAGGAGCAAGCGGAGCAGCTAGCACAGTGAAGCCACCTGCGCCACCGCCGCGTACCTGCGAGAAGCACAAGCCACCAGCCAAGGAGAAGACCAAGCATTGCCATGGCAATGGACACTCCTGCAATCCCTGCCTGGGCCACTTTCGCTGGAAGTCTGCGGAGAAGTCGCACAGCAACGGCGATAATGTGAGCCTGGATGCTTACGATTTGGCCAGTCCCTGCTGCGAGACACAGTGCGTGCCTTCACGGCGTCGCCATCGCCAGCACAAGGAGCACAAGCACAAGCATCGAGAGAGGGAGCGGGAGAAGGAAAAGGAGAGATTGGAGTCTAAAGAGAAGCAGGCAACCAAGACACATGCCTCGCCTGGCGCCAATGTAACCAAGCCAGCTGCGACCGTGGATCGACAGCCGAATCATCATCATCATCACCACCATCATCATCATCATCGACATGCACAAGAGCAGCAGCAGCAGCAACAGCCACAGGAGCAGCAGCAACCACATCATCATTATCATCATCAGGCGCCTTCCCAAGCGAGCAGCGTTCGCTCCCGCTACTTTGACTTAGCCTCTGGTTTGGCTAGCCATTGTAGCCTGCATTCCTGCACCTCTAGTGAGTTCGCTCCCGCTGACTCGGCGTCATATACCACCTCCATTAGCACGGATACGTTGTTCTGGGAGCCCAAGAGCGAGGCTGCACAGTCCTCCAGGCAACACTCGACCAAGTCCAGGCAATCCTATGAGCAGCATTCCCAGCAGCAGCAGCAGCAGCAACAGCAACAACATCAGCAGCAACAGCAGCAACAACAACATGGRCATCATCATCATCATCCGCATTACCATATGACAGCTACTCAAGTGCAGCCCTCACAGATCTATCCAAACACCATTGCTTACGTGCAGAAGCCCAAATCCTGGGACAATCTAGCAACCAAGACGCTTGTGGGCCAGAGCTTCAACTACGGTTATTTGGATACAGTTGCCATTAGGCCGGCGGTCAAGCTGCAAATAGCACAACAACGGCATTCCATGCCTAGGCGCAATCCCTATGGCCGCTATTCCACCTATGGCGATGTGGAGAACTATGCGCCGCCTCCTACCGAATTTGTGGGTGAGCTGACGACCACAACAACAACCACCATAACGGCCAAATCCACGGAGGAGCTCCTGGCAGCCTGCGATTGCCTAACGCCACAGCAACAGCAGGCGCTGAAGGCGGCGCAATATCAGCTAAGTCAGACCCAAAAGCTATCTCATCAAAACTCCTGTCAGTTGGGCTACTACTCGCACCTGCCCAGGCCAACGAAGGATGTGGCCAGCTCCACAGGACAACAGCAGCCAACGGACAACGGCTGCGACGTTGCCACCGTGTCGGAAGCAACGCGTTTGTAGGCAACGTCCATCAACAACTCGTGCAACTAAACAAAAACCGTCTTTCAAGCAGACCCCTAAGATAGTGCACTCTAAAAATCCAAAACTGCGATTTAATCATCATTAACCAAACACATTCCAAAGTATTAGCGGTAGGGCTGCGCCGAGTGTATTTGCATTAGGGGTCTCTACACGAACATTTGTACATCGAAACAGAAACTGAATGAAACATCATGCAGCCAAATTTTAATAATTTTATATTTAAAGAAAGAAATGCAAAACATATGCATATACCTTAGGAGGCCTCATCGAGCCAACTTCTAGATCAGCTAAACATAAACCGTCTTTCATACAGCCATCCAGACTAAATGGACATCAGCCGAAACGTTACATTCCTCAACAATCTGGCGGCATTGAGTGCATTTATATTTGGGGGCCGGTGCATAACAATTTGTACATCGAATGCAAGTAGCAAATGATTGAGAAACATCATGCAGCCAAATTTTAAACTATTCAAATTTTAATACAGTCACAAAAACATATACAAACAATATAAACATACATATGATATGATGATATATGTAGCATTGCAGTTTCTAATTGATTTTGGATTTATTTAAAGACTGAAAGCTATGCGTAGTATATTTTCAAACAAAAAGTGCTTAAATTTATATAGTCAAAAAGTTACAATACATACATATTATGGAATACATATATTAATTTTATGCATGTAGCTATTGGTTTTAAACATACTGTAGATACAACTTAAATATATATATTATAATATATGTATATCTTAAATTTATGAATAGTTATTTAACATAATGGAAAAGCTGAACAATGTAGTTTGAATCATTGTGATAGTGCAAAAAGGCAGATACTGATAAAAAGAATATAATGATTTTAGTGAACTATATATAGAAGTATGGTTGATAAAACGGCGCTTTTSATGTAATGCAATTTGTAAATGTTATGGTACTTTATTTATATATTTAATATAATAAAAATCATTGTGTGTTCATGTAGTATAACTCAAACGTAACTTTTATGATATTTATTAATCTAAAATAATCTGATTTCTTGTGAGGTTTTAAACTATCTGGCAACTCCGTGCAGCGATTTGGTTTTCGAATACTTAACCGTTACTCAACACGCGGTCAGCTGTTTTGGCAGTGCTTCAACCCCCAATTTGATTGTCAAAATACACGCCATCTGGCGGCTTGCGTGTGCACCAGCAAGTGTCAGTTTTTGGGCAAAAAAATCAATACCAACCCCAACCCCAAACCCGCTCGTTAAAAATGTAAATGCGAAAAATTCAATACTGTGCAGCCATACACGACGGTCGCAACGCGTTGCCACAAGAAATAGAAGAATAAAAGTTGAAACAGAACTCGTGTTCGCAAAATTAAATTTCGAAATTCGCACACAATTAGCAGCTGCAGTCCACGCAGCGCCAAAAAGAGAAAGAGAAACATAGTAAAGTAGCAAAAGCAGCGAAAAGTGCGTGAAACGCGACCGGCAAAAAGGATACAAAGGGCCACAAAGCGTACAGTGAAAGTGACATAGGAGCAGCCCATTAGAGCAGTTCATAAAGTTGTTAATCAAAAAGAAGATAAGCAAAACACAAACACTCACACACACACACACACATACTGTACGGCACTCGCAATATGTTAGGTGTGGCTATGGAGCGCTGTTAGTGAGCTGCCGGCGCCAGCATCAACAGCAACAACAACAACAAACACGGCGCGGACTCGCAGTCGCAGTCGCAGTCGCAGTAGGAGTCGCAGCTGTAGGGCGAGACGGAGGCGAAGAGGGCGAGAAAGAAGAAGCGGAAGCGGCGAACGGAGCAGCAGCGCGACGCGCCCAGCTTTAAGCGGCAGCAGTTGACAAACGGTAACGGCAACGGCGACGGCGACGGCAAAGGCTGCGCTGGCGGCTGCTGTTCAAGTTGTTGTTGTTGTTGGTGGCAGCGGCGGAGACACAGGCAGAGGCAGAGGAAGAGCCGAGTACAACAATGATAAGGTAAGTTACTCCTTCACCCCCTCACTGCCCCCGTCCCCTGCGCCACTACTCAGGCCGTCAATAAAAATGCAGTGTGCACTAAATTGCAAATGGCGCTCGATGTCAATTAAAGCGGGAGGGTTGTTCCGCAAAACTCCAAATTGCAAAGCAGTTAGCCGAATAGGTTAGCTATTTTATGGCTAAAAAATGATGAATGTGTGGGGTTAGTTTTGTTTCCTTTTATGCTCTGCTTTGTGGCGGATTGAGGCCCAAGCGTTATTTTTTTTTGAACTGTTAAGTTTTGAGCAACTTGGCTGGGGCTAAAGCTATAAGGCTAAGAATGTGGCTAACATTAATGTAAAGTCTGAGCGTGAGGCTAAGCCCAAGACTAAGAGTTAACTATAAGGGCTTGCTTTGATTGTGTTTTTATTTTTTATTTATCATTCTATGGCAAATAGAGACCAAGAGTTGTAATACAGAGCTCCATATCCTAAATCGACAGAGTTTGCCCAAATAGCTAGATTTTGTATATAATAAAAGGTTCTTTATTGGCATTTTATGATGTTGGCAACATTTAAAATGAAAAGCTATTTCTGAAATTAGCTAAAATTCGATATATTCGTAAAACTAGTTTAACTTTTGGCTTTTATTATAGCTAGAATTACAAATAAATATGGTATTTTAGCTATATTTGACTGTTTAATGCTGCTTTTTAGGCCAGTTTAGCTTCCCCTTTTGAGTATTTTCTAATTGGCCAACTTAAGGACTTGCAACTCTATGTAAAGCTTCATGCATTCTTCTCCACAGCAAATTTTGCCTTTTCTCTGGTTGATTCTAATTGGCTTTTGAATTTATTTTTATTTTTTTATGTATTGCCAACTTTTGCTCTGTGCGGCTGTTGCTGCTGCTTCAGGCAGCGCAACTTAATCAATTCGATAAATACAGATTTCACAACAAATTTCAACTGCCTCCAGTCATGGAGCCATACAAATCGTAGCGTCCAGCGAGGACTGAAAGTTTTGCTTTATTTATTTTTGGCTAGTCAACAGACAAGAAGCCGCAACCGGAACATCTTCATAGAGTAGTATCACAGTGAAAGCTCGATAAATGATAAAGTTGGTAGTTTAGAGTTGAAAATTGCTGACCCTAAGCAAAGATTTGTTCAATAGAATGTTTACTGTAATTACAGCTGTCATCAAAAATGCACAATTTGCAGTAATACATACATATACAACACACGCACACACGCACATACATATACATTTATGTATAAATATACATATTCAGGATGAATTGTGTTCAATGCGAGGATTTTGTGGAGGCCTCTGAACTTGATAATTTTGCTGCGGATGCAAATGACAACATCATTATCAGTGTCAAAATGCCATTAAGTGTGTGTACATGTGTATGTGTGTGTGGCATACAATGCCTTTGAAGGATTACACACACGCACATGCATACATCACAAACAAAAAAGAGGAAGAATTTTTGAAAATGAAAAGGAGAAGCAGAGTGAAAGAAATGTGCTGCTTTGTCAAATATGGCAGAGAGCATGGAGTAGTAGCGAGTAATATTTGCCAGAGTGCCGGCGGGCATTGAAAACACACGCACACACAGACATATGTATGTAGACACACACACTAGTGTGTGTGTGTTTGTGCCGCTTGGCAGTTAGTCAAAAAGCGTCTAGCGTTGAGCGCCAAAGTGCGTTGCATACTTTTTAGCGCGCTTTGTTTGACTCGAATTGGGATTTTCCCCGAGCAGCAGCAACAACAACAACAACAACATCAACAAAGCGCTGCAACAACAACTAGTTAAAAGAGCCAGCCGTATATATGTGCGTGTGTGAGCAGTAGAGAAAGAGTGAGAGGGAAAGAGAGAGAGAGAAGGAGGAGGCAGCCACAGTTTTATATATATATTTATTTTTTCTTGCCACGTTGACAACATGCAGTTGGTTTTGCCAGGCGACAAAAATGTCCTTGACCATTTACGCTTTTGCGTTGAGCAATAAAAAATAAAGAAGAAACATATGACAAACTCCATAGCTCTTTGATTTGTTCGTTGTTTGTGCTGAGATTTTATAAAAGATAGCTTCATATTGATACAATTTGAAGCGCTTGTGAGATTGGCTAAGAATTGTGTTTACTTTAGTTAGATTTAAGGCTTTTAGTCTATTCCTGTAAGATAATAAATGAGATTCGCTTTACTAAAGCTGAATAATGACGGGTAATACATCAAATTTGTAGCAAAAACTTTAAAGTGTACATTTTTTTTTATCTATAATATGCCTCAAACATACAGCAGCTAGCAGTCTATAGAGTAGTGCACCTTTTCGTATAGTTATAAAATTTTCCTAAATTTTATAGGCATATGTCTGAGCCATATATAGTCTATTCATAGCCATATAAAGTCTATTCGATTTGTTGCATAAGCTTACAAGGTTTTTCATCTCTTATATGTATGCCTGGAACGTATTATTTATTTGAGCAGGGTACTTTTGTATAGTTAATTTAATTTATTGAATTCAACTTTTAAAGCTTCAAGCTTTTTTAAGTCTTCTCTTAAAGCAATGATTCAAACTATGCCAAGCAAAGTCGGGTAGCTCTTTTGATTCATTTCTTGAAGCGTATATTTTTCTTCAGATCTCAGAGCTTTACCTAAAATATCATAACAGAGTTGTTTTCAGAATCAGTGCAGTGAAAAGTTTCTGCCTGCCGAAACTAAAACGAACCTGCTTTGATTTGCTGGATGTCCTTCTTGCTGCACTCATACATACTTATATATATTCGTGTGTGTGTGTGTGTGTGTAAGTATGTGTTAATAAGCATTGGCATAGTGGCAACGGCTTTGCTTAGTATTTGTGTTTTTTTCATTTCCGGTTTCCACATGTTGACATGCTGCTGCTGTTGCTTCTGCTCCTTTTCCTGCTGCTACTGCTCCTCCTCCTGCTGCTGTTAATGATAATAATAATCATAATGAAGTCAGCAGCAGAAGCAGCAGTGAGCACTCCGAGCGAGAGGCGTGAGTCAGCTTGTTAGTTTATCAGCTTTGTTTGGCACATCTCGCTTCACCCATCGCCCATCGCCCATTCCACGTCGCTCGCTTTCTTCTTGTCCACGTTGCGTATGCGTAATTTTCATATTATGTAATTCGCACTTGTTAAATGGACTCTTAATTTGATTAGGAGCCGCCATAAACATAAAGTGCCACATTTCCTTATGCTCAGTTCAACTGAAACCCATATTTACGCCGCTGGCAGCTGCTGCTCCTGCTGCCTTCTGCTTCTCCTACTCCTGCTCCTGTTCCTTCTGCTTGTCCATCTCCTGCTTCATCTCTTTCTCATCTCAGTTGTGACTGCTGCTGATGAGCTCATATTGAAAGTTTTTGCCTTTTTTCTTCTTCTTTTTTTTTGTGCCAGCGACCTAGTTTGGTTCAACCAAAATCAATGTGGTCGCCGCGGCGCCATTTGCACTGCCGACCCTTTTGCTCTGCTGAGTCTCTTTTATCCACCTACTGCCCCCACTCCAGCCGTTCCTTTCCAGCATTTAATCATCATTTTTTCTTCATTTTCCACAAACATTTTCTTTGGATAGTTTCCATACCCTGCACACGTTCAGCCCTTGCCAAATGACAGAGTTTAATTGAAAAACAATTGTAGAGAAAGTATCCATTTCATTTGAAAAGTTCCAAAATAATTAATTGTATTTTTTTTTAATTTATTATAGTTATATAAATTATTATAATGCATTAAAATCTAGTTTCTACTTAAGTAATTTTAATCGACTTTAATTGGTATTTTATTTCAAATGGAAGAAGTTTATAGTTGACTAAAATTTATATATGTATATTTAGTTATTTTCTCAAATTATACTCTATGCATATGTATAGCTTAATGCCAGCCCATGATATCTGCTAGTCTATCACATTTATCAGTCAGCTGGTGCTTGCTCACTTGTTTTCAATTTGACTTAGTCACCTGCTCGGGCGTTATTAATTGAGCTTTTGCAGCATTGCTGCCCGATGGCAGCATCGATTGTCTCTCTGGGTCCAGCTGTAGCTGCTCCACATCCGTCTTCATCTCCTCCCTCCGCTCAAGATTGAAATTTTAATTAAACTCGAATAGAGCTCTGATGCTCTCAGCTCTTCGATTGGTTGCATCATCCAAATTAGCTGCGACTGATTCACATAAATTACATTAATACTCCTTTTCCATATGGTTAAATATATGTATATGTTATATGGGTATATTATGTGTGGCATAAAAATTAAAAATTAAAATAATAATAAAGCACACAAGATGAACAAAATGCCCATTAAGCATACGCCGCATTGCCATTTATTGTAGTCCACGAATATTGACAATGGCATTCGCATCAACATCATTATGCGCAGTAGTTATTGAGTGAAGTGGGTATATTGGTTGTCATGGAAAGTATGTAACAATCGACAGTTGCACTTTATAATAGGTATACCTATATGGGTTGAAGGGGTTAATAGAATTGAAGAGTTGATAGAATAGATATAAGAGTGGGACTGGGACTGAGATTGCGATTGAGACTGAGACTCAGAGTGATAGTGAGACTGAGACTGAGAGTGAGAGTGAGAGTGATAGTAGGACTGAGACTAAGACTCTAATGAGATAAATCTCAATTTGAACCCTCTGGCTTTGACATATCCTAGGGTATTTCCACACCGATCAGCCACAACTGGTGCCCACTTGTTCTTAGCATCTTGATAATCGTTATGGCAGGCTCAATGAGGAGAGGCTGAGTGAACGTTAAGTGGGCAGTGCTTGCCGAGCGTCTATTGCATATAGATGTGGGTACATGGAAGCAAAGATATACAAATATTATAGATAGATACGTAAGCTGCACAGAGATTAAAGCGAATTGCGAGACTCAGTTTGTTTATGAGCGCCCTCAGTGCTGCATCGAGAGTATAAAGTAAACATTAGCTCTTTTTTGCTCCATTTATTACAAATATGTATATTCCTATTCCAGCACATCCAGTTCGCAGACATAACATTTTGGGGCGGCAGAGAACGGCATGGTGAAAATGGAGTCCACTGAGGAACAGGATAGAAAGCTTGTTTTGGAGTTTTGCCATTTGCTCGAGAAATCCAAGCAGCTTTTCAATGGGCTCAGGTAACCTGATATACATATAGGTCGATATATTCGATAATATTAATGCTGTTCCTCTGTCCAAGTAGAGATCTGCCGCAGTATGGACATCGTCAGTGGCAGGCGTACTTTGGACGCACCTTCGATGTCTACACAAAACTCTGGAAGTTTCAGCAGCAACATCGCATGGTCCTCGACTCCAAATATGGACTGAAACGTTGGCAAATTGGCGAAATAGCCAGCAAAATCGGACAGCTTTATTATCACTATTAGTGAGTATCCCAAGTCTCTCTCTTATAGGCTGTAATTATATTTAGATCTGAATATTAAGAGTATGTAGTGCTCATACATCTGTAATATTAATTCATATCCATTCTTATCTTGAACGCAGTTTAAGAACGAGCGAAACGAACTACCTGAATGAGGCGTATCAGTTCTATGCGGCAATACGTGGACGTGCGTACTACTCGCGCGCTGCCAAGGAGGACCGGCCGGATTTGATGGTGAAGAAATTGCGATATTATGCACGGTTCATAGTCGTCTGTCTGCTGCTCAAGAAGATGAAGCTGGTGCGGGAGCTGGTCACGGAGCTGGAGAAACAAATACAGGAGTACACGAACACGTAAAATCACCCATCGAATGCAGATCTGCAGATCGTATCTAAACTTTTAATGCCACTTGCAGCTACGAGCCGGAAGATCACTTGGAATGGTCCCTGGTTCTGGAGGAGATCAAGGGCTTCATCAAGGCGGAGGCCGCAGTCGCCGTGCTGCATGCCGACTCCAATCCCATCATCTTGTCGCACAGGTGAGTCGTTGGCGCAATCCTTGTTACCATACAGCAAACACTTTGCCCGTGCTTTCGTCGGCGGAGTAGGAGTATGGAGAGCTTGTGGGGTCGGATATATATATATCTATCTATCTATCTATCTGTACAATGGGTTCTATGGGCTCTATGTTTGGTTTGTTTTTGTTTGTTGTAGGCGTAGGTATACAAGTTTTGCTTCTGTTCTGTTGCTATCAATTGTTTCATTTTATTGTGCTTATCACAGAAGACTTGAAAACACCAAAGAAACACTCACTGTTCTCATTCATCACGCACTTTTCCATTCAGTTTATCCCCTCAACTCAATCACTCACACACACATACACACAAATTCCCTCCACACATACATACACACATGACCCAGCTAAGAATAAAACTAATTTAAGCTCTTTTAAAGAAAAAGTTTCTAGTATTAGCAAAAATATCTTTAGTACTAAGATTTATAAAATTTTCACATATTTCATAATTATTATGATATAGAACTGAAATATCTGTGTAGATCTGTCTAGTAAAGATCTCTTTATTATAGTTATCATATATGCTCTTAACTAAACATATATCTTCTAGTTAAAGACTAAAGGTATATGACAAATGTATATGGCGTTAATGATAAATGCTGTATTAGTATTAGTATTAATGGTATTAGTTCTTATGGTATTAATCTTATGAGCTTTAGTTATATATGTTCATATAACAGTGCCTTAAAAAAAATTTTGAATAATATACACTTCGATATAGTTCAGTTACTCACGATCAGTGAATCTTACAGATATTCTATACAAATCTTAGAGTCAGTCAACTTTTCCTATATTATATCTCAGGATCTAGCTGGTAAATGTTACACACACACACTCACTCACACACACACACAACTTATTATCAGTTCATATGTTCTCCTACCTGTTATCCCTCACACCACTCCCACACACCCCTCTATTCCCCACCCATATATATCACCTCATTAGTGCGCCGCATTCTCAATTCTTCTGTGAAAGCACGGGCCACCGCAATTTGATTGTGGACCAGCGCAACTACATCGACTGATGGTCAGTGGTTCCGGTTCTAGGTTATCGCCGCTGACGACGCCGCCGTGCGAGAGATCACCGCACATGACGCTCAGCCTGCAGGAGATACTGATTGTTGGATCCGCCTGTGAGCAGGCCAAGTTCTCCGAGCTCACTATGGACATGTTTAGGTGAGTGAAATCGAAATTTCATCTRGGTTARTTRKTAATTGATTTGGATTCMTTTCAGAATGCTGCAAACGCTGGAACGTGAGCCCACGGAATCGGCAACGAATCCGCTTAGCATGTCACATGGGCTGCATGGGCACGATGCGAGCCCGGCGGCCAGTCGCATACCACCATACGGAGTGCCCGGCTCCAAGGGCTTTATGGAGAATGGCCGTCGAGACTGTCGAGACAATCCACATAAATATCTACTATACAAGCCATCGATTAGCCAGCTGCTGGTGTTCCTCGCCAGCGGCTTCAAGGAACTACCTTTGGGCGGTGCTCTGCTCCTGTACATGTCAGCGGACGGCTGTTTCTCCACCACCAAGCATCCCGAGGACTGTGAGTACAGCTAGCTGCATGTACGCCTGAAGCGTAGCGCCACTGATCTCTATCTCTCTTACAGATGGCTATGAGCTGGGCGGCTTGGGCACGAGTGTGAAGCGTGATAGCGTCGATGGCGGCGGCCTGTCGTGCCGCGGGAAGTCCTACAAGGAGAACCACTGTCTTTATCCCGGCGATCTCTATCCGTTCACGCGTCGGCCCATGTTCATTATCATCGATTCGGATAATTCGTTTGTCTTTCAGCATATACCCCGCTACTTTGGACAGCCGCTGGTCATTCTCATGTCGCCGCAAGATGTGCCGCCCGCTTTTCAAGGTAAGCCTAGCTAGTCTTAATTAGCTCTCTACATTTCTTTATGTATAAGAAATTATCTATGCACTTGTAGTATAACTTGTATAAGAAATGATCTATCTACTTCTAGTTCTAGTTCTCTTTAGTTCCTTCACATTACTGAGTATTTATTAAAACTTCTTTACTTGCAGCCGATGTACAGCATCATGGTTCGTTGTTTACATTGTTCCTGCACTCCCCGCTGACAGCGCTCTGCTACATTTGCAATGTGGGAGATGTGCCCATTCATCATTGGGAACGCTGTCAGACCTATGTGGATCGTTTCATAACCGAAGCCTCGCGTCTGGTTACGCGCTGTCGCATCGATGAGATCGAGCAGGGCATAGGCTTTATAGGTAAGTAAATGAGCTAGAAGTGTTTAAAATATTTACATCATTCCAATTCGTATTCCTCGCTTGCAGACTCCTCGTATGTTCAGTTCTTTGGGGACGATTTTCTGCGCACACTCATTCTACGTTTCGTGTTCTGTGATGTGGTGCTGCGTTTGCATCGCGGTTTCCGTGGCAGGCATATGCGGCCGCGCTGCGAACCCCAGCTGCCGGCTAACGAACTGCTCGAGCATCCCTCGCTGTCGCACATCATATTCCAGCTGGCATCGGCGCTCGATGTGCGCAACCATTTCTCGGAGGGGCCCGAGTGCGACTGATGACTTTTTTTGGCCGTAGTCTTAGCTCTAGTCATAATGATAATTTTCTACATGATGCAGCAGCAGCAGCTGCAGCAACAGCTGCTGCAGCTATTCAATCTCTACTGCCTGAACAGACAGTTCTCGTTGTTCCATTATCTGTACAATATATATTCGCTGGCAGCGAGCTGGTCTGTTAGCTGAAACTAGCTGCAGATATTCTCCATTGTCTGGATATTCAAATTTTGATAACATACCAGATACGATATATCATATGAGTATATATATAT